CCTGAGCACCCTCTCCAGGAGGAAGGGCTTCCCGAGATCCAAACACGTGAAGTAACCTTTAATTAACATCATAAAAATACGGAGATGCTTCCTACCTGATAAAACATAGTGACAGCTTGGATGCTGCCGATTTCCTTCCTGCAGAGACAGTTGCAATTAGCAAGTTTAATTTAATTTCTCCATGCTTAAGCAGCGTGGGCCTCATTGCAAAAGCACTGCTTCCTAACGACGACAAACAAGAGCGATATAAAGCATGAAATCTAACCTAAAAAACCCCACCCAAGTAAACATTTCGGACCAAGATAAAGCATGAGCTGACTTTTTGCTTTTCTCAGGCTTCGAGCGAGCAAAATGCTGCGACTGTCTCCACAGTGGCCCAGACAGCTTAACTCTGCTTGATGCTTGCTTTGCCTCCTTGTGTTTGACAGATACATCTGCATCGATCAGCTCTCCAACATCAGAAAATATTACAAGCTATGACAGTTTAAAGTTGTTGGGTTTTTTTTTCCCCCAACCCCACCAGGCATGGTAGCTCTGGTGGGGTTGCAGCTGCTGGGGAGGTGTTTGCAGTTGGGGGGTCAGGAGCCCAGGAAGGTCCAGGGGGACCTTTGTCTCATTCTTTGAGACAAATGCTTGAAAGAACGAGCCCTTATTGCTCAGGGAGAGGGAAATGCTGCCGGAAAGAACTCAGCTGCTGCCAGGGAGAGCCTCGAGAGGGCTGAAACCTGGAGCTTCCCTGCAGCATCGTCGTACTCGTGGCTGATTGCTGCTTTGAGAGGAAGCTGCCGTGGGACGGGATGGCTTTGACACCCCGGCTCTGATCTCCCAGATTACAGGAAGCCAAGTTCACGTTTCTGTACCCGATTAGAGGTTTCTGTGGTGCTGGAGCGAGGAGCGGGGTGGTTAATCCTCGCTGGGGGATAGCAGCCCTTTGATTACCGGAGCGTAGGGGTGATGGTGTCTTGTACGCGCTCTGTGTTGTTGCCTGGTTTGGTGGTTAATTATCTGCTCTGTGGGGAGCACACCTGTGGTACAGAAAGGTGACCTACATGGGTAGCTAAAACTAAGGCGGGAGTGATCCAATTAGGCAGTCTTTGTTGGTATTTTAGTGTATTAGAAAGGGAAAACTTGAAGTCTGCAGCCTGTAGAGTGTCGTGGGCATTCGGAATAACTGGGTGTGTTTTGCGGAACGGTTCTGGTTAGGTTTGACCCGTTCTCCACTCAGATCTGCAGGAGTGAGGACAGCTCCTTCTCCTCTTTCGACTTCCTGGAAGATGGTGCCTCCACCGCGATCGTGGGACACTGGGAGGGCGATGTCTCCGTCGTGGACAGACGGACCCCGGGGACATCTCCAGAGCTGTCTGCGGACGTCAGCTTCAAGAGAACGAGGACGGTCCACGTCCACCCCGTGCACAAACAGTATTTCCTTGCTGCTGGCTCAGTGTACGTAGCTCAGAAGGACCGGAGGTTACCTGCGTGAGGTCGAGCACCGAGCACAGCTCTGGTGTCTCTTGAGCGTGTTTTTTTTTTTGGTAAACAGAGATAAATTGTAATTATTTGTCACCTTGTAAAGTGTCCTGTGTGCCGTGTGTTGCAGGGATGTTTGTATTTATGATGTTCGGTACCTGAAGTCCAAGGGGAACAAGGCCGTGAGCTCTCTGACAGGACACACAAAAAGCGTCGCCTCCGCGTATTTCTCACCCGTGACAGGGAACAGGGTGGTCACGGTGTGCGCCGATGACAAGCTGAGGTGAGACAGCGCGGGGAGGAATAATCTATGGGAAATGTCTTTGGTTTTTTTGTTATTATAATTTCCAATCTGCATTACCCAACACGGAGAGCTTTCTGTCTTTATCACTTTTCAAAAAGTGACAGTGGTTCCTATGCATTGGCATTTTTAATGTTGTTTTTAATGATGTTTGGATTTATCTTTTTGTTCCCTTCTAATTTTTATTTTTTTCCTTAAGAGGATTTAACAGTGAGCAGTAAAACCCACAGGTACTGTTAAGTCTTTAAAAAACCAGACAAATCCAAAAAAAAACCTGAAACCAACCAAAGAAAAAACAGCCAAAAAACTTGGTTTACAAAATGCTTAGAAACTGAATTTACTTTTAGCTGCTGGCGCTTAAAATTATGATAATATCAGCCTTTTTGTAAGGAGCCATTTCATAGCTTAAACCACTGTGAGTTGTTTTGCATGAGGCATCCCGCCTTTGTTCCCACTTTGTAGTTTTGTGACCATAGTGTGGGCAATCTGTTCGTGTACACACGCGGTTGCAGCTGCAGATTCTCCATGTTGAGAAATTCAAAATTGTGTCAGAGAATAGCAGCTTGGGGAGAACCTGGGGAAAATAGCGGGGCAGGTGGTAGATAAAGCCCCTTCCACATCCACAGGAGAGGGTTGTTCTGTGCGAGTTCTGCGCTAGGTAACGCTTTCTTTCCCCTTTTTTGTTCTTTTTTTTTTAATGTATAATTGAAGATTTGTTCTCCATAGTAAGCTCAGTTACAAAACTTGTGAGTCCTTGGTGCTGACAGAGCAAGCGTCAGGGTATGAAGTGGGTATGAGTAAAGCAGGATATTTCATAGAGCCACAGAATGTGTTGGGCTGGAAGGGACCTGCGAAGGTCCAACCCTGCCAGAACAGAGACACAGGTTCATTGCTTCACTGCCTCCTCCAAGGCAAGAGAAAGCAGCTTTTAACTCGGCAGCTCGCTGGGGAGGCTGAGATCCCAACAGCTGAGGGGGGCGAAGGAGAGCCCAGAAGGGGAGATTTCCGGGTGGTTTCACACTTGTCCCGGCACTGGCAGTGCTGGGATTTCACTCCCAGAGTGTTGACCCTTTAGATATAAGGAAGAAATTCTTGGCCGTGAGAGTGGTGCAGCACGGGCACAGGCTGCCTAAGGAGGCTGGAAGGGTTCAAGGCCAGGTTGGACGAGGCTTGGAGCAGCCTGGTTCAGTGGGAGAGGTGTCCCTGCCCACGGCAGGGGATTGGAACCAGATGATCTTCAAGGTCCCTTCCAACCCTGAGCATTCCATGATCCTGTGACCCTCCTGCAGCTGGCCCTGCAAGCGCTTCTCCTCTTCCTAGCACAGCTCTCGGAAAGGCTGACCTTCGGTTCGAGCTCACAGCAAACCCGATTAAAAAAAGCAAATTTAATAATCGTGGTTGGACTCTGGGTGCTTGTATTCGAGTTGGCCACCCGCGTGCTGTTCCCTGCGGTGCTGCAGACTCCGCTGTGCGCTGGGGCACAGAGGGGGTGGTGGTTTTGAGCACACGTGTTTTAATCACAGAATCCTAGACTGGCCTAGGCTGGAAGGGACCTCAGAGATCATCTGGTCCAACCTCCCTGTCACGGGCAGGGACGCCTCTCAACTAGATCAGGCTGCTCAAGGCTCCGTCCAACCTGGCCTTGAACACCTCCAGGGAGGGGGCAGCCACAACGTCTCTGGGCAATTTATTCCAGAGTCTTGCCACCCTCGTGCTGAAGAATTTCTTCCTAAGGTCCAATCTAAATCTATTCTCCTCCAACTGAAACCCGCTTCCCCTTGTGCTGTCAGTGGACACTCTTGTCAAAAGTCACTCAGCCTCCCTGTAGGTCCCTTCAGGTACTGGAAGGCAGCTGTTAGGTCCCCCCAAGTCTTTCTCCCATTAACGCGCTGTTCTGTGTCACAGGGTCTACGACACCACCTCCCTGACCTCGGTGGCGCTTCTCAGCACCATTAGGTGAGTGAGCTGCAGGGGCCAAGGGTGGGACATCACAGCCCTCCCGGGGACGCTGCCCCAGACCCGGGGTCCTCGGCAGCCCCAGCACCCCCAGGGGCCCAGCCCTGACCCGGCAGCCAAGTGTGGTTTTTGGGTAGAGTCTGGATGTGTGTAAAACAAACAAACAAACAAAAAAATCCCTTTGTGCTCCGGAGGGGCAAGTGGCTGACGGGGTTGGTTTGCAAAGGAGCTGGAACTAGATGAGCAACCGGCCTGAAAAATTCTGAACATTTATCAAAAAAGCTCAATGCGACTTTTTTTGCTAAAATCTGCAACCCCGACGCGCAGCTGCTCTGGCTGATGGTGGCTCCTTGTCCTGCTCCGAGAGCTTTTTCCCTCTGACCAGCCCAGGAGAGCGACTGCTGACCTGCCGGGGCTTTAGAAGGCGAGGAGGACGGGCTTAATTCAGGACATAAATGAAAATACTGGGTTAAATAAGAGGAATGTTTCTCTCTCTTTCTTTTCCCCCCCTGTGCCTGTTTCTCTGAAGACACAACAACAACACGGGCCGCTGGCTCACCAGGTTCCGTGCGATCTGGGACCCGAAGCGGGAGGACTGCTTCGTGGTGGGCAGCATGGCCCGGCCGCGGCAAATCCAAGTTTTCCGCGACACGGGGACGCTGCTGCACTCGTTCTGGAACGCTGACTGCCTGGGCTCCGTCTGCTCCATTAACGTGCTGCATCCCAGTAAGAACATCTTAGTGGGAGGCAACTCCAGCGGCCGCCTTCATGTCTTCAAAGAAGGAAACACACAGCTCTGATTTTTTTTTTTCCTTTTTGCATTAAATTTGTTTCACCTGTGTTAAGTTGTTCTTAACTGTATTTTCTCAGGACAAAAGTGCATTTTAAAAGCCTTAAAATAATAAATGTTCTAATCTACCTTTGGCCTTTTCTTTTACATACTTTTACAGCCAAGATCCTGACACTTGTTGTTTTTTTCAGCTGAGTTCTCACTCGAGTGAAAATATTGCTATCGACGCCAAAAACGCCAAACGAAATCTCATACTGACTCGGATTTTTTCATGATATTTAAATATTTATTTAAATTTAAAAATACTTTTCATGGCACCAATGATTTTATGCTAACTAAGATATTGAATATGTAGAAAAAGGTACATTTTGAAGGAAAAATGTAACTTACAGTATTTGGCACATGAAAGGTTAATTTCTAGGTTGTTTTTTTTTTATGAAAACTAAGAAATTCACATTTTCAGGTATTTTACTGTCTACTGCGTAAAGATGCAGTATATGCTATTACGAGATTTATTTTTATTAATTTTTTTCTGATATAAGAACCTATGGAAACAACATTTGAATATAAAGACAGGTAAAACTAACAGGTAGCGAAACACGAGACGCAATATGGAACATATGGGAGAAAAAAAAAACCCAAATGTACAACAGAGGAGGGGGGAAAAAAAGTAAAAATCACCAGTTCTTGTAGATTTGCAGTAAAACGCTGGGTGAGAACTGCAGAGGTAACCTAGGGCTGGGCGCTAGGCTGGAGGAAGCCGATGGGGAGGGTGGCTGAAAGATGGGGCTGGTAGGACATCAGGCGGGACAGCAGCAGCGAGGAGGAGGAGGAGGAGGAGGAGGAGGATGACTCTTAAGTGCATTGTTAACCCGGGGTGAAGGTCGGGTTCGGGACTACCACGCACTGCATAGAAACACCATGAGCTACGGGGCTGAGGTAGGAACACTACGCTAAGAGTTAATTGCGCTACGTTGCATAAAACGGGATGATCGCGTAAAAAATAAATTAAAAAATAAGAGTCGCTCCTCTGCCCGCTCGGGAGTTGGGGCCGGATGCAAACCCCTCCTCCTCGACAGCTCAGGTCTGTGTCCCCCCCTCCCCACCCCGACACAGGAATTACACGGGACGTTGCTCATTATTGCAGTGACAGACCCGCTGCGGCGACGGACGGACCGACGGACAGACTGACCGACGGACCGACCGACGTCGCAGGAGCCGGCGCTGGCCGGCGCTGGCCCCACAACGGGTGGGATGCTCAGAGACAAGAACACGGAGATCAGGCTTGCTTTGTTGTGTTTGAAAACTGCAGTTATGGCCCCAGCTTATGTAAAAATCTCTCCCTGAGATGAAATAAAACTTGCTCACCTGTTTGGTTTCCTGTTTTTTTTTTTCTCTTAAGTACCTCCAACTTCTCAACCAAATAAAACCCAAAACGGAACAGAACTGGCTTTTATTGCTCGCCGTGTGAGTGGCCTGCGGCGCCCCGGGGCAGGGGAGGTCCCAGGGGTTGTGTCACGAGTACGATGGGTTGGTTTTATTGACTTTTGCTAAAGAGCAGACAGGGCTAATGGCTGTCCGTTGGCTTGTCCAGCGTCACCTCCCCTCCTGCCGGTCTGTCCTCGCTCCTCTTCGGAAAAGTCACAAAAAAAATTAGAGCTCCTTTCTCTATTCCAAAACTAGCAACAGGTTTAATCTGGTGTTAGGCTTCCAGGCTAACAAAAGCGTTCACTCTTAAACCATTTGCTCCACGTGAACCTCGGGGTTCAGCACGCCACGGTCACCCCATCCCAAAAAGTAAAAAAAGAATTGATTAGATTCAATAACAAAATAGCATTTCCTTGTTAAAATAGACCTTGAAACAGTGTCTGGTTTTTTTTGTCTTTTTTTCATTTTTGTACAAAACAGGTACAACATTTGGAGGCTAAAGGGTTTTTTTGTTTGTTTGTTTGTTTTTTCCTAATAAATCCGACACGGTCACTACCGGCCACGTGCCTGGGCTTGGCCAAGGATGCCCGGCGCGCTCTCGCCTGCCCGTGCTCTCCCTGCCCTCGGGAGCGCCAACGCTTCGAGGCTTCGAAAAAAAGACGAAAAGGTCGATTCTGCATCGCAGGGCGATGCCGGCGGT